AATTCTGTGAGAATTGAGGACAAAATTTAGCCCAAAATTTCAAATCACTTCAGAAAATCATGAAATCAAGTTACTAATTTTGTTAATCACTCTCAGCTTATTTTACACTTTCCTTGTAGTTGCATGCATAAACTGAACATAAAATTAATTTCCTGATGTGTTTTACTACTTGTTAATAACTTGAAAGCCACAATAGTCATGATCTTAATTTATATCAGAGTACAACAACCATTAGTTCTGCAACAGAAAATGACAGGAGGTGTGGAAACAGCAAGCACTGCTCTGTCAGGACGGTACCACCTTATGCTTGATTTTATTGTACAGATCAGGGCATAGTGTGGAGTACAGCAAGAGCTCTCAGATGAACAGATTTACCCCATGGCTTTCTGGATCTTCAATTCATTATAAATAGAACCACACTGAGACTTTTTGGGAGACATTCGTTTTTCTGCATTTATCCTGTCAGTAAAGGGGCTTACTCATTTTCTACCCTGTCTTTAACCTAGAAGGAAAGAAAAATAAGGAAACAGTAAGTTTCAGGCTAGATTCTTCTTTGCCCTTGACCATCTGAGTTCATCTCATACCAGCTCCCAGGTAATGCCCAGCTGCCTTTTCTAAACTCCCTTTCTGCTTTAACAGAAAATACCTCTAAACAGTTGGTCTGCCAGGCAGGAGTTGTATACGATTCCCAGAGAGTCAGTGGATAGACTTCAGCATTTACTAACTTTATTTAAACTCATCAGGGACTGTTTTAAAGAGCTGTACAGAACTAATATGCGTATTGGGTATTTGATCCAGGGCTTAATGTTACAGTTTCCAGCAAAGAACACAGTTTTGTCGATGTTTCTTTTACAGTAAAAAGGCAGAAACTTCTGGGTTTGGCAGTGCAAATTGAATAGATAACAATAGACATTGGCTGTTCCAGCTGAGTTTGAATTTGTTGAATTTATATAATGGAAATAAATAGCCTAAGACAACTCTTTCTAGGAGTTCAAGTGGTGTAAATCAAGTATAAGCCAAACAAAATCAATGGAGTTACTTTGATGCAAATGAGAGTAGAGCCAGACTCAGCATCCCTTACAAGCAATGCAGCTGTGTTCTCCAGTATCCTACCCGTATGTAAAGGCGGGGGGGGGCGGGGGAAGGGGGTCTCTGTCCGTTCACATTGACATCCAATGAGTCTCTGCTAGGCGCTTTTCAGAGTAACTGCTACTTCACAGCTCTCTCAGTCAGGACAGAGGGATTTAACAGATTTTCTATTTAGCCATGTGCATGTGTCACAGTGCAGGTAGAGAAGGCAAACAAACCCATGCCTGGCTGTGTTGCAGTATCATCCTCCTTCTGCATCAGCCTTTCAGAAGCGCTGTTACTGAGCGTTTTCTCATCCCAGCACGGGGAGGCATACTGCCGTGGCCAAACTATCATCTTCCTGCCTTCCAAGAAAACATGATACAACAAGATTTCAAGAGGCTCTGACTTTCTCCCCACCCATAACCTCCAAAAGCCTAAGACAAGGCAACTCATGCCTTGTTTATCTGAGTTTAGAATGGAGGCAGAAAGTGCCATTTTACTGTGAAAACTCAATATTACAATTTCAAAAGAAACCCAGTAAAGCAGATCAATAGATCTTTTCTAGTTCACATTTATGAAAGTTATCAGTTTGTTTAGGAGAAAAAGTTGGGAGGTTGGGCGGTGAAACCACTCAACTCCAGGGGACTCCAGGACAGAGCTTCTTGCTGCCTTGGCCTGTAAACTTTGAGATTTCATAAAATCTTGCCCCCTCCAGCAAAATCAGTGCATACACAGGTAAATAAGAGCACAGCAGTACATGGCAGGAGAGAGAATTAGCTCCCACATATTCACGCAGGCTGAAATTTGGAGCAGATCAGTTGTTGATTTGTGCACCAGGGAATGAAAGTCATGTGGCCTTTCTGGGTCTGGGAATAAGAGAGTTGCCAGTGTGAAAACAAAGGAAGACATGGTAAAAAGCTAGGAGCTACCCAGAGACTCCTGAGGTACCTGTTTTCAGAAAACAATCAATTCTGGGATGCAAGGGAAGAATTAAAACACTCCCTGGAGCTCCACTGCAGCATTCAGTACTTTTCCTCATGGTACCCTGTACAAATAAAACATGGACTAAATAGGCCCATGTAAAGCACATTCAAGTTCTCTTTTTCCTTTCCTTTTAGGTTTCTCTTTCAAGTCTTTTTTCTTTGATTTCTGAATGAAATTTCTGCCTTGCCTTTATGGTCAACCATGCCAGCCATCTAAAGGTCTCTTGAGAAAGAGGCTCTTTTCAAGAGTTAGTAATCATGTGTGAAGAATTTTGGTCATAAATACTTCAGGGATGTTGTTAAGAATAAGATGCAACAGAAATAGGCAAGTTAAAAAAAAAAAAAAAGCAGGAGCTGTGTAACAGAGCCAAGTGCGCTTCCCTCTGTCACACAGTCCTTCATGTATCCTTCAGCACAGGGCAAGTTCATCTGCAGGAATAAGCTGCTGGTCATATCCTCAAGCAACACAAATCTTCCTATCTGAACAGACGCAATGCTAAAATTGACATTTTAAAGACATGTACAACTCATCTTTCACGAAGCATCATCAGTACCACAGGTAAGTACCAAAGAGATTTAAGAAACAGTCCCTAGCTAGCAAATACGACTGACTTAAGCCTACATTTATGGTTTCTGAAATGACTATATGCTTCCTCTATCTGCAGTGAAAAGGCATCTCCTTCTGCACTGAAAAGGAGACCATAACTTGGAAGACCACAGCAGCAGTGTTCCCATATGAATGATAACAACATCAAGTGTTCAGCCTGCCTTTGCGAGTAGTCTGGTATGCTGGGCCTCACCTATCAATATGAACGCCGAAGGCATCCTTAAACCATCACTTGTCCTCTACCAAGTAGGCTGCAGGGCTCATTGTCACTGGGTAGCATCCTACAGCTGCTGCAGCAACAGGCATGGCCCTGCCTGGGGAAAACACAGCATGGTCAAGCAGAAGGACCTTCGTGGCAATTCAGTGAGCCTCACCGCAGTCCAGCAAAGTTATAGCCAAAGGCTGAAAACCCAGAGATTTTACATCTTGTTTAACGTTTGTCATCTGTGAAAGAGCACTTTTTAGCATCAGGGGATCCTCAGGAAAGAGAAGCCAGTCTCTAAGCCCCTCTAAGAAAGTATTCCTTGCTACAGTGCAGGTGTCCTTTTCTAAACAAGTATTATTTCATTTCTGAAACACATCAGATTTCTGTTTTGTATTAGTTTACAGAGACTCCTGAAGTATCCCTAAGCAATTTGGGAGTGGTGAGTTTATATGAACTTCTCTCTATAGCTGTTGTTTTGTCACTAACAGATGATGCAGAGATATTTTTTTCCTCAGTTGTTTCCTTCCACCCGAAGTTCTGGCTAAATAATGTACATAGATAAAGCAGTCCTGTATCCTTTTTTCCCCCTTTTTTCTATTGCCATGATGGAGCAGAAGTTCATTACTTCTGCCAAAGCTTCAGTCATTACACTATGACCGAAGTCAGATGGCAGAGAGACAACCTGTTTACCACTAGGCAACAATGTGCACAAAAGTGGGGTTTGTACCAGGCTTTGGCTGTGGCAAAGCAGATGGTCACTACCGTGAGAAATGATATCTGGAGGGCAAAGAGTTCCTTTCCAACCACTAGGAGTACCAAGTGAACCGAGATTCCCTCAAGCATCTAAAGAAATAGCCATATTTAATGATCAGAATATCATTGCAAGCAGTCTGGGAGGTCAAATGAGAGTCAAAATCCAGGAGACACATCTGCAACATCCAATGCATTTCCAGTGAATCTGGTTCATACATCATAATCTGAAGGCAGAGCGAAGCACTTAGCAACTACTGCGCTGCTCAAAGTAACAAATGACTTTTCTCAAGGTTTGGACAAGTAAATAGATGTTCTTATTACATGTTTATATGAATCATTTGAAATGATTTATTGTTTTGTTTTGTCATTAAAACTACAGGCTCTGACTATCACTCAACTTCTATTGTATGTGTTAAATTTTATCAGTCACATGCACTTTAATTTGGCTCTATTAATGGCTCCAGCTTCTTGAATTTGAAGAGACCATTGGGAGTAATGCAAGGGTCTATTTTAAGTCTACAGCTATTTTCTATTTTGGCAAAGAAATAACTGACAGTAAATAAATATCATGCCATCATTTAGATACGTGTAGATGATTCTGGATGACCTTATGGAGCCCAACAAAATAGGAAGCAAAAAAAAATCAGCAGCGAATACAAGGAATGTGCAAAGATGAGCATAATACTATTAAACTGCTAGTAAATGGAAGCATGGCTGTATTGAGCTAACTTGAATGAACTATTTGATCACTTCTTCCTCTGTTACCTTTTCAAACTTGAGTCCAAACTTAGTTGTTACTGTTTCTCTCAGCCTGTCCTCATAGGAGAGGTGCTCCAGCCCTCGGATCATTTTTGTAGCCCTCCTCTGGACCCGTTCCAACAGTTCCATGTCCTTCTTGTGCTGAGGGCTCCAGAGCTGGACGCAGTACTCCAGGTGAGGTCTCACCAGAGCTGAGTAGAGGGGCAGAATCACCTCCCTCGACCTGCTAGCCACACTCCTCCTGATGCAGCCCAGAGTACGGTTGGCCTTCTGGGCTGCCAGCGCACAAACTTGAGTCCAAACTTAGTTGTTACTGTTGAACTCACTGCAGATCTTGAGCCTACTTCTTGAAATAAAACTATTCATGATATATTATTTACAGTACAGAAATTAGGCTATTTCTATATTTTTTCACATACTTCAGTTACTAATATCTGAAATACATAAGAATGCATTTGGAAATCTGGGTCTTTGTGCACCACAGTACACCTCTCACATTGTCCTACCCTTCCAGTCTAGAGATACACAGTGGCCTCATCTCCACCCTGATAGGAAAGAGCAGCCACCTGATAACTCGTTTGCTGCTCATCTTCTGTGCTGCCTCATCAGACCTTAAAAGCAGCCACAGTAGTTAAGGTCTCCAGCAGTCCCCAGGAGTAAACTCCTAGGGAAAAAAACTAAGAAACAAGGGCAGAGTGCAACCCCCACAAATTACTCTCTTGAATTTGGAAGCCACCACTACCTTAGAGACATCATCCCATCAGAAGGTGGCATTTGGTTCTTTTGTTATAAGAAATGCAAACAATTATGCCATATTCACCTTCTTCCATGCTTTATGATTTTATAGACAGTCCCTTCTTTCCTCCCAAGCAACGGGCCCAGTAATTAGCAGTCTTAAAAATACAGAAAGCTGTTCCCACCTCTCAAGCAAACCCAGCATATGCCATCCCTTCCTTCTCCCTCTCCCCACACCAGCCCTTTGGTCCCACAACACAACACTGCTGTGCCAACACAGCCATGGCCTTTTCAGGACCACCCTGTAAAATGTATCAGCTGTGGTAAAAAAGCCCTGCCATCCAAACCCCTATATGGTGAGATTCCAATCTAGCAACTGAGAGGTTAAATCCTGGCTTACATGAATTAAAGTGTGTGGATGTACCATTCTGGCTGAAGCTTTCACAGCCTGTAAGGCTATGGCTATCCTTTTTTTCTGATTAGACCAGTCTATGGTCATAACATGATAATAGATGCGTGAGTTAACGTGTTGCTTCAGTTTTTGAAAAACCTTCTTGTGAAGTGGGACTTTATTTCCCTTCCGTCCATCCAGCTCCCACTCTACTCTTCTTTCCACAGAGGTCTTGATCCCCTACTTCACCAGAAACCCTCAAAACATGGAGGAGTATGAAGCTCTGAATAAAGATCTTGTTCATCACACACAGATAACTAAACCAAACTCGATGTGTCATCTCTTCAAAGTTTGCCTCATCTGCTGGCAAAGTAAACACAATTACCAAATAAAAGCCTTACCTCTTTCCAGGCCACACTAATGACCCATTAGAAGAGAAATAACTGGTTTAAAGGTGCACTCTTGTAAGGGTGAATGTAAGAAGGACTACAATAGATGGGGGCAGGGGAGTGAATTTGTTCTGTTGTGCAGTTTCTCTTCATCCATTTCCCAGCTTGTCCTTATCACCACCAAGATTACATAAGTCTTTCCCCTACTAGGAACTGGGCTTGCTTTAGCTGGTAGCGCTCCAATTAATGTTATCTTTATCTCTAGAATTGCTAGAATTCCTTAGAAATCCTATGTGGGATGATATTAACTTATTTGGCCAATACTTTTAGAATATTTGTTTGTTTTCACTCAGACAAAAATATTCAGGCCATTACGCTATCTAGGGCATTAGAGCTGAGCTCACTGCCTCTGCCCCAGGAGATATTCTCCTAGAGAAGCTGGCAGTTCATGGCCGAGACGGGTGTACTCTTTGCTTGGTAAAAAACTGGATGGATGGCCGAGCCCAGAGAGTTGTGGTGAATGGAGTTAAATCCAGGTGGCAGCCGGTCTCAAGCAGTGTCCCCCAGGGCTCAGTTCTGGGCCCAGTTCTGTTTAACATCTTTATCAATGACCTTGATGAGGGGATCAAGCGCACCCTCAGTCAGTTTGCAGATGACAGGAGGGGTGGCTGGAAAGTTGCCTGGCAGAAAAAGACGTGGGGGTACTGGTTGACAGCCAGCTGAATATGAGCCAGCAGTGTGCCCAGGTGGCCAAGAGGTCCCATAGCATCTTGGCTTGTATCAGGAATAGTGTGGCCAGCAGGACTAGGGAAGTGATCATGCCCTTGTACTCGGCACTGGTAAGGCTGCACCTCAAATTCTGTGTTCAGTTTTGGGCCCCTCACTACAAGAAGGACATTGAGGTGCTGGAACATGTCCAGAGAAGGGCAACAAAGCCAGTGAAGGGTCTGGAGCACAAGTCTTACAAGGAGTAGTTGAGGGAACTGGGGTTGTTCAGCCTGGAGAAGAGGAGGCTGAGGGGAGACCTTATCGCCCTCTACAATTGCCTGAAAGGAGGCTGTCGCAAGGTGGGGGTCAGTCTCTTCTTCCTGGTAATGGGCGATAGGATGAGGGAAAATGGTCTGAAGTTGTGCCAGGGCAGGTTTAGGAAAAATTTCTTCACGGAAAGGGTTGTCAGGCACTGGGATGGGCTGCCAAGGGAAGTGGTCAAGTCCCCATCCCTGGAGGTATTTAAAAGACGGGTAGATGAGGTGCTTAGGGACATGGTTTAGTGGTGGGATGGCAGTGCTAGGTTAATGGTTGGACTTGATGATCTTAAAGGTCTTTTCCAACCTAATCGATTCTATGATTCTATGATCAGGACTAGCAAGGGCTACCCCACAGGACAAACCACCTCCTTCTGGGCTGTGCTTGTGACCTGCCCAGCACAGCTGCTGCTGCTGTCATGGATGGTGCCACACAGTTCCCTTCCACGGCAGAGCAGGCTGGAGAGATACCTGAGCAAAGTTCAGCTCAGTTACATGAGATTGTCCAATGATAAATGCAGGAGCCGCTTACACATTTATTCTTGTGCTCAATTCTCCCCCACATCTTCTTTGCTCTATTTGTCTACTCAGAGGTATTTTACTGTACCCATTGGTATGTCATACCACAGAGAAAATCAGTGTTTAGCAGTAGTCCTAAGAGCCAAATCTCTTGAATACAAATCAAGAGTTAAACCTGCAGTAGGTACAAATTGATATATCTCCATTGATTCCTTTGGATCCATGCCACTACTCTGGTTTTCATCAGGATATCTAGTGGGAAAATTTTTAGATGGGTTGTTTTTTAATACTAAGGCATAGCAAAATAGTCCAGCCATAGATCTCTTTCATGGAACAGTCTTCATTTTGAAACACAGATCATCAGCTTACTTTTAAAAAAAATAATAGAACAGCCTTTAAGTTCATGCAGAGGTTACTCTTTTTGCCACTGAGGTTTTGGGTCATTGGGTTGTTTTTTATTTGTGGGATTTTTTTAGAAATCTCATCATTCATATAGATCCACACCTTTCAAAAATCACTCTGTTGTGCTCAAGGAACTTGTTTTCAAAATAAAGAACTCATCCACATGTCCTGTTCTGGTGCTGGAGTTGCTGGAGTGAAAATCAGAGCTGTAGCCAGTATGCTTTAGAGCTTTTTTTTGCTTAACAGACCACTTAGTTTACACAAATTGCATACTTGCTGGTTTCACCTGTCCAAATCGCAAAACCAAGCATCTATGGAAGAGCCAAAGTAAAATTCGAGCACACATTCAGAAGATGAATGGCACCAAGATGTAGCTGTTTGTGGAGGAAGAACATTTCTGCTCTCATTTAGTGCAGAGTTATCAACGTGACAGCTTCCTTTTGTTGCTGCTATGCATTGGCTTCAATTACAAACCACCACAGAGCTGAGGACAAAGAAAAACTTCCACATTTCCCAAATTATTTCTGGAACACACGAAGGTTGAAAGGGTAGATTCTGCTCCACACCACACCCACCAGCCTGACACCAGTGGAGCGGCTCTGTTGCGGGAGAGCAGGCTGGACTGTGCAGGGTTCAGGGAGAGATTTTTGATAGCCAGGTTACACCAGTTTACCTAAGATGCTACAGGGAAATTAAAAAAAAAAACCCACAACAAATTCTGCTTATACTGGGTAGAATCTCCCAGTTCAGTAGTTACAGGGTTGAGTGTTACAGGAGATCTTTTTAATAACAAATATGTTTTTCTCTACTGGCTATACTTCCTATATCTTTTTGCTCCCATGAAGCTGCATCTCCTCCCTAGTCTCAAAGGACCACATACTCTTCCTCTTTAGCCTCCGCCACATCATTTCAAATATTCCACTCCTGCTGTAACCGGGGCTATCAAAGTAACTCCACGGCAGGCGTGCGATCAGCACCCAGGGGAACATCACAGCTCTGGAACCCCTGCTGGTACTACACATGCAGTTTCTTCAATCCCACTGCATTTTTTTTTTTAATCTTTATACTCCCCACCTTTCCTCAGGCTCCCTCCCTTTATATCTATTGCAAAACATCAGACTTTCTACAATAAAGCAGGAAGAAAAACAAGTCCATCACTAAATGCAAACGCTGGCTTTATTCCTTTCTGCCACTGGACCCCATATGTGCCTTGCATTTCATGCTCTCATGTAATGGAGGGTTCAGGTGTTTCTGATGTTGCTGCCAGACACTAAAAGCAGAGCGATACAAATGTGAGCTAAAAAGGATCCTTCGATCCCTAACTGCAATTGTGGATAAAGCTGGGAATTCTCCGGCACACACCGAGCAGCTGCTGCTGTGAACAGGCTCCAGGGATGTACTTTGGTACATTCCTGGCCTGACTTAGGGCCTCATGCTAACTCAGTTTTCAACCACAGTCATTCTTGTCCTGGCTCATTATTATAGCACTGCAGAAATACAATGTTTGGACAGTACTGAAACTTCCTCCTAGCTGCCACTCTTGTTTGCCAAGCAGGCTACTATTCTGTATAATGGGGTGGCAGTCAGTTCCATCCTACTGCTTCTCTGATTTTCCTGACAGATTCTGTTTCCATCTAATGCCCTTTGTACACCTCTCATGCAATTAGCAGGGTGGTTACTCGATCTCTGAATAACAAAAGTCATACTCAACTCAGCAGGAGCTGAGTAAAAGAAGCATAAGCTCTTCTGGACTTGATCTTGTTAACTGACTTGCTAATTGAGATAACATTGAATTTTAATATTAACAATGTTCCACAGTCTTTTTCTTGCATTTTTATGTTTCTAGAAAAAAACATATTAATATATTGTAACAGTTAGGAAATATAAGTTTTCACGTTATTAACAACTTTGTAGGTATTTATGCACCTAAAGGGTGTGAATTTTGTATATGTTTTAATTTGAGTATTAACAGGCTTTTCAGCATTTAATGGAGTGAGTTTTATCTGCTCTTGACACAGATATTTTTATGGAGTGTCACGCATTTTTGTTTTCTTTCAATTTATGAGTAAAATGGAGGGCAAAAGAAAAAAACTACAAGCAAGACATTACAGTCTTCTCAACTATGGAACTCTCTGGCTAGTGAAAATGCTCAGCAAATGTGGATTCCTCATTCCAGAATTTGCTCAGCAACACACTTCCAAAATATGTTCATACTTGTTAAAGCCACTGATTCTAGTCACTGCTGCAAAGGCCATCTGACTAAAATATTAAGGAAAAATTATTCCTTCATCTTTATTTGATGTTTGTGTTACAGTTTTGTGCCTCAGTGGCACCTTTGAGGAAGCTGATACTTTCCAAAATCACCTTTAAGCAAAGACCAACAAAAAGCTTCTGCAAACAGAAACTAAAATACAAAGTTAGATGAGAGCCTGTGTGGGGACCATGAATGTCTTCTGTAATATCGAATCTTTTAGGAAAAGTCCTCAGTGTTTTCCAAGCTCCATATAAGATCAAGAGCCTCTAGCTCAGGAAAACATTTCACATATTAATTATTGTTGGCTGTGTCTAAACTAGGGATGCACAAACACTTCCAAGCTGAGTTTGACATCGTGGTTGCAATTTGGCTTTCATCAAGGTTAATCTAAGGTATGCACAAGCCACCTTGCCTGGATGTTCAGTTCCCATACAAAGAACAGCTGGGTGAGTGTGTTGGAAGACAACCCCACCACCCTACTCTGACCATACCTGGACAACTGAGACCCAGGCCTCGGGTCAGCATACCCATTCTTGGTAAGCATTTCAGGCAACATCTTCAATAGCGTCATGACATTAATCCTCCAAAGACGTTGCAGTATAAAATTTTGATTTTGCCTTCCTTACTGGTCCAGAACAAAAGACATCTTACATATTATCTGCATTGTATTGGGCAGTCCATGCCTTTAAATAAATAAAGCAATGGAGATGCTTACAAAAATATTATTGAAAAAACCAGGAGCAAGTTGGTTTTCACAGTGACCAAAACCAGACTGTAATGGAATTAACTGTATTTAAAAGGAGAAATATTGGTGAGAGTTCAAGTGAGATATGGTCTGAGCTTCTTGGCCTGCATTGCTTTTGTTTTCAAAGAATTACTTGGCTCCTGAGCAGGTGAGGAACAGGAATGTGGAGAAAAGTGATCAAATTTCATCAGAAAAAGTACTGAGGAATAAAAGCAGCCATTACATTAATCCTCATCTTCAGACAAATTCTACTTCATGTCAGCAGTTGGTAAAGGGAGCAGGCAAAAGGTGACAACAGGGTAATCTGCCCTTTCCATGTCCTTAAGCCTCTTGAAAAATCCACTATCCTTGTCTCTGCAAGAGTTAGACTTTTAACCCTTCAGCTGATGTACAGGAGTTACACCCTTTTTCGAGGACAGAGAAAACCATGCTTTCTCCATCTGGAAGCTGTCTTGGCACCCTGTTAGCATCCTGACAGCCATTTGTGTCAACAGTTGCAATCATCCTCGCTTTTGACTTGCAGGTAAAACCCCTGAGTCTCTGGCCCAGAATCAATTCTCTTTTATCTTGATGAAAAGATTTCTGTCAGCCATCTAAAAGTTAG